GTCCACTCAAACTTCTTCTGTTTACCCGATTCATCTTTCTGGGCAGCTGACCTCATAATCTTGAAAAACGGTAGGCACTTATCTGCTGACTTCGATATGAACCGATGAAGAGTTGCTACCCTTCCAGTCAACCTCTGTATATCCTTCATTGACTTTGGCGGTTCCATCTCGGCAATTGCTCTGATCTTCTCTGGGTTGACCTCAATTCCTCTCCGGGAAACCATGAAACCCAGGAATTTTCCAGACTCCACACCAAAGATGCATTTGGCTGGGTTTAACCTCATTCTATTCTGTCTGAGATTGTTGAATGTCTCCTCAAGGTCGGTTAAGTGATTGTCAGCTTTCAAACTCTTTACCACTATATCATCAACATAAACTTCCAGATTCCGTCCTATTTGAGCTCGGAATACGATGGTAACCATCTTCTGGTAAGTGGCACCTGCGTTCTTCAAGCCGAAGGGCATCATTACATAGCAATAGATCTCATCGCCAGCATAGAACGAGGTTTTTTCTTCATCCTCAGGAGCCATTGGGACATGGTGGTAGCCTGAGTATGCATCCAAGAGACTTAATCTCTCATTTCCCGAAGCTGCCTCAACCAGCTTATCAATGTTTGGCATTGGATAACAGTCCTTTAGACATGCATCGTTGAGGTTAGTGTAATCAATGCACATCCGCCACTTACCATTCGCTTTTTTCACCAACACCGGATTGGCGACCCACTCACAGTAATCTACCCTTCTGATAAAGCCGGCTTGTAGGAGTTTCTCGACTTCTTCTTTAATAACCTTTAACCTCTCCCCCCCGAAGAGGCGTCGCTTCTGGGCTACGGGTTTCTTAAGGGGATTGGTGCTGAGTTTATGTTGAAAAACTGAAGTGGGAATTCTTGGCATATCTGCTGAAGTCCATGCAAAAACATCTTTATTGGCCAGAAGAAAAGCTATTAGCTCTGCTCTTTCCTCCGGGTTCAATTTAGCCCCAATTTGCGTTTTTCGGCTCGGATCTCTGTCATCAATCTGTACCTCTTCCACATCTTCGGCTGCAGCAGCTCTGGTTTCATCTTCTGGTCGGTTATCTACTATCTCCACACCCATAACTTGTCGATTGTCAAGAATCCTTTTGGGATTGACCTCGGGCGTCTGATCTTTACCCTTCTGAGGTTGCGTGACCGAGGTGATATAGCAATGTCGGGCTACCTC